TTTCCCCACAAATGCAGATCCAAGAGACGGACAGATCTGTGAAATCGGAATCGACAACAAATTCTTTGCCAAACATTTCTATAATACTTATTCTTTATGTGCTTTCAATTGTATTCAATTTTAACAAATATTAAATGTAATTAAATATTAAAAATTTATACTATATTATATTTTGATATTGTATCAAATTATTTTCAATTAGCAGATAAATAACAATTTTATAAGAAAATATTTTTTTATTATTCATTAGTTGTATCGCTATTAGAATCACTAGAATTTTGTTTGTTTTCCTTTTGTTTAGCCTTTTTCTCTTCGTCTTTGACTTTGTTTTGGAGTGCTTTCGGAGTCACAAACTCTTTGGGTATTTGTTTTTCAAGCCATGGATATTGTGCTAAAGTTTTGACCAAATTGTTGATATTTTTAGGAATGCCTTTACCGCACAGTTTCTAAAAATTGGTTAAAACTAGTTTAAAGTGAAAATGTTTTATACAATAATTTCCAAATTACTTTACAAAAGGCATCGGAAAAGTGATTACAATTCCTTTGAATCAGATTATAATCTTTTCCTCTGAAGTCTTTGGCACCCATTTCTGACACCATTTGTTTGATACTCTCTTCACTGAGTTCTGTGTTTCCAATAATTTTGGATTCTCTGGATTTGTGTAAAATTATATATGAAACCAATTCTTAAAATCATAAAATTATAGCTAAATTTACTTGTATTTAAAAGTGTTGCTAACACTGAGAGATTTGATGTCTTTAGGCGTTGTAATGAATATACCGGTGCTATCATAAGAATGGCCACCAAATGAGTATTCTTTGCCATACACTTCGGTTCCCGTATGAAAAGCGCCCAAATCTGGAGACATTAGTGTTATGTATTGGTTGGCCGACGGCTGTACAACACATTTGAAATTCAAATACTGTATTAAAAGTTGACAGTAATATAAGTTTATGAATGAAATGATTACCACATCATAGATATGAAGAATGACTGATTGCTTTTGTGAAGACATTTGATAGAAATACTGTAGTTATTGTAAAAAGGGTTTTATTTTATTCAAACGGTTTTAATAAATTTAAATAATCATCAATTTAAACTTCAATTATTATACTATAGACACTATACTGTACTGTGAATACCACAAAATTAGTTTATCAAAAAACTAATGAATCAGTTTCCATCACAAAGTGTTTTATATATTTTGATTATAATATTTCATTTTGGCGTTGAGTCCAAAGAATTTTGTGAAATCTTTATTGAGAATAATCTGCAAATCAGTTATGGATTCAGTCATCAGATCAATAGATTTGAATCCAATTTGTATATAATTATCGGTCAAACCTATTGGAGACTCGAATACATTGACAACACGTCCGATGAACACAAGAAACTGATTATCTATTCGATGGTAAGCGTGAGAAGCAAATGGTTGAATGATAAGCAATACATAACGGCGTTCAGTGTCTTGGATGAAGAAAACGGTGGTTATGTGTCGGGACTGTTAGCTCAGGACAAGCCATTCGGTTATGACTTCATATATTGGGTTAAGTTTGACAGCAGTTACGACTTGAGTGGTGCGGACGGCAGAGGCGGCACTCGTATCACATTCAACGGCTTTCGGCCGTTCATCGCATACTTGCCCGTCGAGAGAGACGAATACCTGTCCTCTTCTATCGTGTGTTTTCTGTACCAAACAAACGACACGACATCCGACTTAGAGGTGAAGTACTATCGCTTCAATTCAAGCAATTTTGAGCCAAACCTGGCGTTAGAGCCGACAGATGTGACCCAATCGGTGACGGCCGCCAAGTATCGGACGGACTTCCTGTTTGAGTCGAAAATGTCGACAGTTTTCCGATCTTTCAATCAAACAGCGATCACTCAATTGAAATCTACGCTCAAAATAGTCGCTGTTTTTGGACAATTCAGTCGATCTCAGGGTATAATAGACTCGAAGAAAGGAAAGGGAGTTATTATCCTGTTTTCAGACAACTTTCAGATTAAGTACTGCTATACTAATGAACGGGTTTTGAGTAAAGAGTGCCATAAAAGCAAATTAAAAGTATTGATTGATTGCCATTTGAATACTAATACTACTGCTCCCAATCAACCCAGTA